AGGTGTATGATATAGTGATTCCACCTTTCTATACTTAACAGTGCAGTAAGTCCAGCAATTATCCTGTCACCATGACTACAATGCATTTTTCAGGTCTCTAGTGATAGGATCTTGAATTCCAAGTTTCTTATCTGTGAAATGGGAGGCTTGGAGTAGAAGAAAACACCTTTAAGATCCCTCTAAATCCTATGGGCAAAGTGCAGACAAGCTGGAAACACACTAAAGGACTCATTTTTGATCCGAGGGCCACTTAGCTTTCAGGCTATGCTTTATATTTTTTAGGAGAATCTTTGAAAGACACGACTAGATCATGCTCTTCAGGACACTGGCATGTAACAATAAAGCGGCTCCTTCCTTTGGAGAAGGGGGTAAATGCTCCTGCATATAGAACCAGGACTTTTTTTAGATCTCCTAATAGGGGCTGAGGTTAAGAATGGCAGGCCCAGCTTGGGGCCAGAAAAGCTGCTATTTTCCTTTCCATTTCTCTGTTGACATGCTCACATCTCCTGCTATATTTTCCTTTCTATGTGGCCTAAAGCTCAGCAGGATTTTTGAAGAAAAAGAAGAGTACTTGTGGTGGGAGGGAGGGAGTGCATCTAGACAAAAGGGAAGAGGCCCATTTATGGCTTTATTCTCTGAGGAATACAAACGGATCGCCCTTTGCTCTGCCTCCACTTCCTAAAGGAGAGCCTGCTTTGGGAGCATGGGCAGGGTTACACTCTAACCAGCTGGCAGCAAAGGGCAAATAGCATTTTAAAGTGTTGGGTACCCTGAAGTCTTCAGAAGGGTGTGGCTAATCCTGCTCTGGGAGCCCCAGTATATGGGTGGTCATCTGCCTTCCCCCCCCCCCCCACCCGAGGTGGCAGGGAAGAGGGCTGGATGAGAAGGGACTGGCCAGCTCTGCTTTGCTGGGAAAGCTGGGGTGATCCTGTAATATGTCTGAAGAGGTTTTAATTTAATTAATTTTTTTTTAATTTTAAAAATCACTTTGCATTAAAAGGTTAACCATTGCATTAAAAAAAAAAGTAATACAATGGCTAACATTTCCTTTGGCCTAACTGGAAACTAAAAGAGAGGCTTCAGAATAAGGGATAAAGGAAAAAGAAAGTTATAATGTATGTTATTGCAACTGGATAATTAGTAAAAGTTAATTATTTAATCTGTGAACCAGAAGTGGTTAAATTATAACTTGACCGTAAAGAAAATACTACTTTCATAAATATTAATTTCCACTCTGTCCGTTTTGACTCACTAATTTAAATGACCTCAAGTACTCAAAGTGAGCTTTCTCTCTATTAAAATGATTTACTAAAACCCACCAAACATAACCCACATGTACAGAAACCAACAACAGGCCATGTGGTACTGTATCACATCTGATCAGACCTCTCTTACAATCAGTGTGGACACCAGTTCATAGATAACCTGGGCTGTGTATGTGTGAAAGGCTCATCTGCAGAGAGTGGGTCTGTGGTGTGCAGCAGTGACGGGGGTGTGCGCTTTGGTGTGGGAGCGGAGATTTGGGTTCTGGCTCTGCCACTCCTTGGTTTGTGGCCTTGGCCAGCTCTCGAACCTCTCAGTGCCTCCATGAGCCCCCTCTGACACGGACAGATGAATAGGATGTATGGCACAGTGTTGCTGGGAAGCTTAAGAGGCATGACACACACAAAGGGCTTAGCAGTGTGCTCAGAACATGGCAGCCCTCAAAAATACCAGCTACTTGTTCGTTTACGCAACAGTTAGCTACTAAACAGCACTGTATGCCAGGCACTCTCTCAGGCACTGGAGATAAAGCAATGAACAAAACCGATAAAAAGCCCTCTCCTGGTGGAATGTATATTCTAGAGTAGGGGTGTCGAACTCAATCAGAGAAGGGGCCAAAATCTAAAATCCAGCCTAAATCGCGGGCCGAATGGTTTACTGAACAGTCATAAACTGTCATTGTGATGGAAACGCAGCGGAGTGCAGTGATGACAGCGCAGTGCGGGCCACATTGCAAGGCCTGGCGGGACGGATTTGGCCCGCGGGCCTTGTGTTTGACACATGTGTTCTAGAGAGAAAGAATATTCAACAATGAAATGCTGCTTAAACGTATCCTATCTAATAAAAGCCTAATATGCAAATAGTCCCCTCAATGGGGAGTTCCACCAGTTCAATTGCTCGCTATGATGTGTGCTGACCACCAGGGGGCGACCTAGAACATGGCGGGCTTCAGCAAAGCTGCAGCAGTGAAGGCACTGCTGACCCCTATGGGCCCTGATGAGAGTGTGACCCCCCCTATGGGCCCTGATGAGAGTGTGAACCTGGCAGGATAGTGGAGCAGGTGAGCAGGCAGTGCCAGGCCAAGGCAAGTATGAGCGGTGGCCTGATTGTGTATCGCCTGCAGACAGTGACCAGTGGTTGGCAGGTCCTGATCATTCAATCAGGGCCGGGCCCTGGGCTAGGATGGGGAACTGGGTGTGGGTGGCGGCAACCAACCTCCCTCCGCACCTGGGCGGGCGGGGAGCTGCGACCTTTCACTGGCTATCTGGGGGTGGGGATGATGGGAACGGAGGTGTGGTGAGAATTCAGGTGTTCTTGGAGCTTGCTCTCACTCCCCCTGCTACCCTCCCCCGGGATGCCAGGACTCACGTGGCCTCTTCTGGGTGAGCCAGGCTATAGCAGCCAGCGAGGCTGGCCGAGAGAGAGCCCACTGCCCATCCGGCTTCTGTGCAGTGCCACTGGGTGGCCCAGAGGCCCAGGTTGCGCCCTGGCCCATGGTGTTCGGCCGTGCTCACCACATCTCCACGTGGAGACTGGGGTGCCATGACTCGGTCGGAGGGGGGGCATGCTTCCCAGGGTCCAGGGACCCAGGTGCTTCCCAGGGTCCAGAGGTCAGGTAGGACCTGCCCTTCCACGCCATACACTTGTGCTTCGATTGCCAGCCAAGCCTAGGGTCCGCACCCGAGCATGAATTTCATGCACTGAGCCTCTTGTTTACAAGGATTATTAAACCAGTGGGTCTCAATGCCACCACGGGACATTCAGTCGGGTTTGAAGACATTTTTTATTATTACCACTGGCATCTAATATGTAGAGACCAGGGGTGCTGACAAACACCTACACTGCACAGGACAGCTCCCCACACAAACACTTCCCGTCCAAAAACGTCAGCAGCGTACAGGCTGAGAAACCCTGTTCTCAAAGTTATGTATTGACTTAGTTCATCCTTAAGACAACCGTATGAGACAGGAATTATAAGTATTTTCTTATAGTCACCAATAGTAGCTTCATTTTATAATTAATGGTAGTGTATACCTTTCACATCAATAGGTTACATAATATTTGTAGAGTTATATAAAATTACATGCAGATATTTTAAAAATATCTTCCTAGTGTAGTTGTGTGTGTTTAAATACAGATGTTAGACCTGACAAACTTGATTTAAAGTTTCTTTTGCAACCCCGGTGGCTGTACAATTGTGCTATTCAGATCGTAAAGTATTAACCTCTTCTGGTCCCCAGTCACCTGCCCCAGAAGGCAATCTTTTGTGCCACACCTGCAGTGATTTGGGTATTACCAGAAGGGAGCTCTGTGGTATACCAGAAACACCAGACCAGGAGCCCATAGATCCACCACCCAGCTTCAGCACCTTACTGGCTGGGCATGTTAGGGCAAGTCACTTAACTTCCCTAAACACATGATGTTTACCATCACCACAGCATGGGGCAATACTGTCTTCTGCATACTGTGTGAAAGTGCTATGGAAATTGCAATGGACATTACCATCGCCCGTCACACCACCGATGTGATTGATGCAAGTGGTAGATGAGGAAACATAGAAACCTGGTAACTTGCCTGAGGTTACATGGTTAGAAAGTGGTAGAACAAGGGTTCCCAAGCAGGCATTCTGCCTCTTAACTGGCCTGCGCCTCTCTGGACCAGCCACTATTTGCAATAATATTTGACTTGCCATTATTGGTGATTTCTTCGATTCTTTTCTTTATAGCTTATGCGTTTATTAGATGCTTAGAAAGGTCTTCTCTACTTGGAGAATATATATTTTTAAAATCCATGTTTTCTTTTAGTAATTCTATAGTTATATTTCAAAGTTCAAATCTTTGAAATACCCAGAATTTATTTTGGTGGATAGTAAGAGTTTAGATTCAACTTTGTTTTCCAGATGGCTTCCCAGTTGTCACGATAACTTCTGTTGAATAGTCTACCCTTTCCCCACTGATCTGAAATGCTCCATTATACACAAAATTCTCATATAATTTGGATCTATTTCTTGACTTTCTGTTGATTTGACAATCAGTAAACAAATAATTACTGTAGCAGTATCAAATGTTTAACAATTTGTGAGAGCTAGTTGCCCTCATTATTTTTATTTTCCAGAATTTTTCTGGCTGTCCTTTAGAAACTTAGAATCATCAATTAATATTTCTGCTAGGATTGTGTTATATTTATAAATTAATTTAGGGAAAACTGATACCATTATATGCTGAATAACATCCATGAACGTGTGTACTTTTATGTTTGGTTCAAATCTTTGCCCTTCTCCCCACCTTTGTTTGGTGAGCTCCTATAACATTTTAAAGTTTTGCTCATATAAGTCTTCCTTTATTACATTTCCTTCAGGATTTAGGAATGTATTCCTATCTGGCTAATGTTATCACATGTATGTGTTATTTAAAGCAGATGTGGTAACAAAAACTGTTAGCTACAATACTATATAAAGTGTCATTCATTTTTGTTTTGGTTATGCACCCTGTTCTTGAAACCTTGGCAAACTCAGGTTTGAAAACATCACTAGAACCAAGGCCACATGACATACTTCTTTTTAATTCCTGTTAAGACATGGTTTTCTCCAAAAATGTTTCGCATGAATATAGAACTTGTTAGAGTTTTGGAAATCTTTGCTCTATGTCAGATCATCTTAAATTTTGGGAGTACATAGAGTCTAGGGGTATTATATTACAAACTAACAATTTTTACTGAACTGCAAACACAAAACTTACCTCCCAAATTCATTCCGGCTTGAAGACATTTCTGAAGTCTGCAGGCAGGACAATTCTTCCGTCGAATCTTATCAATGATGCAATCATTTCTTCCGGCACATAAATAGTTATGTTGCCCTGCATAAAATATAATTTAAAAAGCAATTGTTAAAATACAGATTATTATACTGATATGAATTACTAACATGCATCCTCAGAATATAAAATTTCCTCTTTCCTTCCTTGACATCTCCTTTTCAAAGAAGCAAGAAGGGAAACAGGATGTATGGGTAATACAGGCACAGGGATGGTCAGCTGAACCCAGCTGAGACTTTGGATTACAGATGGTCAGATTAACGCTACATTTGTTTATTTCCAGCAGGTCTTCGTTCGTAGAAGGATAGCGGCTCTCCCCCACTGTTTAAATATTTTGATAGCCACATGCAGCTTTCAGGAGATGTGCACATTATATGCAGGGATCACAACAGCACTGATCTGAATGAGGGTCCTGCCACAGCTGTGTAATCTGCCATGCCTACAGACTGTTTACAAATGTGATTTCAACCAGAAAACTTTCAAATTACACAGTAATTACTGCACATGTTTAACTTCCATTCTGCAGATGAAGCTGGAACCAAAACAGTCACATGTGGGAATATGTTTAGAGAGTGGCATCTACTGGCAACAGGTAAACTTGTAGCCTAGCTCTATCCCTCATTTATTTACTCAAAAAATATCTACAAAACACCCAGTAGGTACCAGACATTAATAGAAACACTAGGGATACAATAATTAATATGATAGATATCCCTGATCTCATTAACTTTCACTCAATTGTGGGGAGAAAGACAACAGATGAGGAAATTAGGTAAAATGTACAAACGTACAGTAATGCACTCTAGAGAATAAGAGAAGGGAATGGGCATATAACACAATGCGGGTATGGGAGAGTACGGGAGGATGTTGACATTTTAGAGACAGTGCATGCGGGGGGGAGGGTGGTGGTGCTCACTAGGAGGTGATTTTAAAAGAAAGGTCAGAAGGAAATGAAGGTGCTGTGTGGATACACCTGGCAGCGGGAAAAGCAAAAGAGGTGGGGGCAGGGGTGGGGTGGCTGCTTGACATGTTTAACAACAGCCAAGTGGGAAAGAGGAGAAAGAATGAGTGGAAACAAGAGGAGACGAGGAGAAATAGCAAAGTGAGTCAGCTCATGTAGGGCCTTTTAGGTCACACTGGACTTTGACTTTTACCCTGAGATAGGAAGCCACTAGGGAAATGACCTGATGTGGTTTACCTCTGACAGGATCCTCTGGCTGCTATGTTAGGCACTGACTGCAGTGGGCTAGGGACGGGAGTAGGGAAGGAGGCTATAACCCAAGGGTGGGTCAGTGAGGGAGCAGAGACCATGGTGAGAAGTGGTCAGGGCCTAGATGCATTTGAAACTCAAAAGCTACTAGACTTTGCTGATGGACTAGAGAAAAAGCGTAGTTACAGAGGCATCAAGATGCTTGGACTGAACAATTAAGAAAATGGAAATGCTGCAAATCAAAATGCAGAAGACAGGAGGAGCATGAGTTTTACAGGTAACTGTCAAGTTTGAGAGGCCCAAGAGGTATCTAAGTACTGGTGTCAAATTGGCAGTGAGATTCCATAGATCTGGAGTTAGGGAGAGGTCTGGGTTGGAGATGGAATCAGCTTGTGGCCATTATTTTTTAAAAAAATATATATATTTTATTGAATTTTTACAGAGAGGAAGGGAAGGGGATAGAGAATTAGAAACATCGATAAGAGAGAAACATCGATCAGCTGCCTCCTGCACACTCCCCACTGGAGATAAGCCTGAAACCAAGGTACATGCCCTTGATCTGAATCAAACCTGGGACCCTTGAGTCTGCAGGCTGTCACTGAACTAAACTGGTGAGGACATTGTGGCCATTATTTTAAGCCGGGTGGGAAACCTCTTTTCTGCCAAAGGCCATGAGGATATGTATCACATCATTTTCGGACTGTGCAAAATTATCAGCTTAAAAATTAGCCTGCTATGTTTGGTCAAATATTTAACTAACTCACTCTTAATGCCTTTGCAGGGCCAGACCAAATGATTGTTTTGTGCACTTTATATGGCAAGAGGGCTGGTCGTTCCCCACCCCTGAATGAGCCATGAGATTGAATGAGATCATATGGTGAGTGGGGAAGTCTGGGAAGAGAAGGGTCTGAGGACTGAGGCCAGGGTCCCTGCAAACATGGAAACAGGAGTCTAGGGAGTGAACAGGCTTGAAAGCACTCCCTTCAGCCTAGTGCCATCACGCTCCCTTGGTTGAGAATTCTACTCAATAAAAACAATGTGCATTCCTTAATGCAATTAAAATAATTTAATCCAGAGCACATTCTCAGCAAGACATTGGCAAATATTAGTAATAATAATAAAATGCTATCAATAGCATAGGGCAGTGGTTGGCAAACTCATTAGTCAACAGAGCCAAATATCAACAGTACAAGGTTTGAAATTTCTTTTGAGAGCCAAATTTTTTAAACTTAAACTTCTTCTAACGCCATTTCTTCCAAATAGATTCACCCAGACTGTGGTATTTTGTGGAAAAGCCACAGTCAAGGGGCCAAAGAGCCGCATGTGGATTGCGAGCCATAGTTTGCGGACCACTGGCAAAGGGAAATCTATTAAAGTGAAGAAATGAAACTCCACCATTATAATAATCTAATGACTTAATTTAAAAATGAAGGCTCATGTGAATAGGTGAGGTGCAGATAATTACACAAAGGAAATCAAGAAGTAAAACCTGTGGGAGGACATTCAATAATTTAATGTATGTGTGGTTGGAATTCCAAAAGGAAATGAGAACATAGGTGAGAAAAAATACATGAATATTTCCAAATTTGAATAAAACCTCCACTCAAAAATCCAGAAAGTTTAGCTCCAAAAGATAAATAAAAAAAAAAACACCAAAAACAAAACACACCACAAATAAAAAATATAAAATAACCCATTATGGCAGAAAATAGTTAAACTGCTAAAAACAAACAAACAAACAAAAAAAAAAAAACCCAAACATTAAAAGACTTAAAAGCAACCAAAGCAAAAACAGGAACAAAAAAACATTACATAAAAGGGAACAAGAATATGAGTAATAACTGATTTAATCAAATAAAATTACAAAACATATATCTTTAAAGACCACCAAGTCAGAATAACTGATGAAAACATTTATCAAAATGAAGGTGGAATAAAGACATTTTAGGATAAATAAAGCTAAGGAAACACATTGTGTGCAGAATCACATTATATGAAATGAAAAAGGAAGTTCAAGCAGAAGGAAACCAGTTAGAAGCTGAGATGTACCAAGGGTCCTGCTTGGCATTCTGTCCCTGGTTTAAGCTGCCCCTGCCTTTCTCAGAATCCTCTGCTGCTTCTCTGCAAATCCACAAAGCTCTTTTCCTTGATGTGTATATGGAGAAAGGACTGAAAGGTATGCTACTGGAGATGAGGCAGAAATGATTTGTACACATGGATCTTTTGTGACCCTCTTAGGAGCCAGAAGGCCTTGGGTGGGTTTGTGTCTATATGCAATACACTGCATGAATGTGTAAATTCTGTATATCATACATGTATTTAACTTATCGGTAACCATGTGTTCCTTCTTTCAGCATTATGCACTAGCAATTACCTGCCAGGCAGGATGCTGCTTGTACCATATCTCTACTTCCTCATTGGCTCACAGACAGATTCTTCATGGTGTCCAGCAGAGCGTCAGAGTGCCCAGTGATGGGTACTCAGCACTTCTGTACTAAAGTTTCATTTTAAATGGATATTTTGGAATCTTCACATCATATCCCATTTACTTTAAGCTTTGATTTCTCTCCATGTTGTGGACAGGTGCACTTTTTTTTTTCCCCTTTGGAGAATCCATTACTGTGCTTGCTACCAGCTAGTTAGAACTTTCTCTAAATTTTTATGAGAGAAACTAATCAATTTGAAAACTTTAGGACATTTGCATTTTCCCTGTAAGTTTTTGATTTATTTAGTTTCCAATTTTTTGTACAGATCCTTGAGTATTGGTATTATTTACACTGATAAAATAGGTTCTGAGTTTTTGGACTTAGGGGTGGGGGAGTCACTGGATCACATTCTTAGCCAACCGCATGGACAGGGCAGAAAACATAAGTAAAGCTCGGATCAGAGGCATCGGATACAGTAATGTTGCACCATTATTTTTACTGGTACTTTTATTACCGATATTTTATCTGTATTATTATCGGTGTGAAAGATAATGAATTCTGTGACTTACTTTTTAAAATATATTTTCATTGATTTCAGAGAGAGAAAAGGAGTGGGAGAGAGAGATAGAAACATCAATGATAAGAATCATTCATGGGTTGTCTCCCACACACCTCCCCCCCACCCCCCAATGGGGATTGAACCCGAAACCCAGGCATGTGCCTTGACCGGAAATCAAACTGTGGCCTCTAGGTTCATGGGTGGATGCTCAACCCCTGAGCCAGGCCTTATTTTTCACAGAATGGAAAAACCCCTAAGATGGATCACTTTGCATAGTTGGATCTCTATTCACATATTCAGACATACAGGTCAGTCCTGCATCCTGCACACCATGCTCAGAGACATCCTATAGCTGAGGCTGGGCAGTGCTGGGAGCTGCAAGTGGTCCCCTGCCCAGATGAAGGTCAGCCCGAGGTTGAGGCAGCACTGAGCACATCTTCCTAATAACTCTTTATGTTTTACCTCAGGAAGGAGTCCTATCCCTGACTTTCTCTGGCGCCACTAATTTCATATTCAGTGATATATACAGATATGCACACGTCCTTCAAGCAATGTTCTGCACCCCTAATTATCTGGAAAAAAATCTGCTCTTATTTTAAAATCTCACCTGGGAGCTAAGTCATAAGCATGGCTGATAATGAGGGTGGCCACCTTTCATCAAGGAAAATACTGAAGTTTTCAGGTAAAATTACATATGGAAAGAAACAGGTTCTAGAAACCCTAAAACTAGGATGAACACCTATAAACAACTTTTAGAATCTTAAAAGAAAGGAGCAGGCAGGCATTAACCAGATAGGACGTTAAAGTGATTCTAGAGTAATTGGAATGCGTCAAATTCTATGTTTTG